ACTTCACTGAAAGGGGCGCTGTTTATGAGGATAAGCACAAGTTGCTGTTTGTGTTGTTATAGAGTCCAATAGAGTAGCAGTTCGCATGTTTGTGCAGCTTTCATAATCTGTCTTTCATTATTCTGAAATGTATGCATACTTTTTGCCCTCTCGAACATATTTTTCAGCGGTGCTTTTAACCTTTGCACCTATTTAGTAAACTGCACGTAAGAGTTACTTCCTGTTCAATCAGTTGGCTGATTACCTATTCTGTTAAATCATCTGATTTGCAATAAGCCAGTAGAAACTGTTATGATTAAGCATGAAATGGAGTAGCCACCAGCAGCCAATAACATTACAGTTTTCCAAAGTCAGATCAGTTAGTGCATGATTTCTATTGGCTGTACATTTTTCATTACTCTGTTAACAAAGCTGGTATGGGAATTCAATCATGCACCAAGAGGCTGATTTATTTTAAAAGTTGAGACTCTTCACACAATAAATTGTGTAAATATTTACTTATCCACTCATGTGAAAGAAAATTCCCATTTTCTTATTTTATCTGCACTTGATTGGACAATTGAAGTGAATATTGACACAATTTATTGTGTGAACATTATTAGCTCTTCAGTAAATCAGCTCATAGTTGAATCTAAAATGTATCTAAAATTAGCTAATAGTATAACAAATTATATTTTGAAAGCAACTATATTCCTTTAACCGCCTCCCAACCGTGTTATAGCTGGCTACAGTGCAGTTATCTAGTTCTGGGAGGGCATCCATGGATGTCCTCCCAGAATGTGCCCCCTGTGCACCCCCAGCGGCGTGCACCCAGTGCATGATAAGGTAAAAGGCCAATCACAGCGGTCTTTTACTATGTGATCAGCTGTGTCCAATGACACAGCAGATCACAATGTAAAAACAGTTGCCAATTATCGGCTGCACTTTCCTCACGCTGTCACAGCATGAGGAAAGTACTGCCAATAACCGCGGATCACAATGTAAATACAGTTGCCACACGCTGTCACAGCAACAGAACGGATCACAATGTAAATACAGTTGCCAATTATCGGCTGCACTTTCCTCACACTGTCACAGCGTGAGGAAAGTACTGCCGATAACCGGCAAATGTGACAGGGGAGTTCTGCACTCATAATCAGGGCACTGATGATCAGTGCCCTGATTATCAGTGCCACCCATCAGTGCCGAGCAGTGCCAACCATCAGTGTCCAGCAGTGTAACCCAGCAGTGCTACCCATTCGTGCCCAGCAGTGTCACCCATCAGTGCTACCCAGCAGTGCCACCCATCAGTGCCCAGCAGTGCCGCCGGTCAGTGGCGTCTGTCAGTGCCTCCAGTCGGGTTATCAGTCAGTGCCGCCAGTCAGTGCTGCTAATTAGAGATGAGCGAAGTATTCAAAAATTCGATTCGGCTGATTCGGCGAATTCGAGGAATAAATTTGATTCGATGCGAATATATTCGCTGCGAATTTAACTTATAAAAAGGTGTTTCTAGGCTTCAGAGAGCCTTTATATTAGTGCAGAACACTGTACCTTTAATTTAAATGCCCTTGGAGTCTGCTGGGGAAGAGAACTAATAATGTCAGTCAGTATGACATGCAGATGAGTGCCGTCGATCTTAGAATCACTCACCGCACACTTCACTCATTTGGGCAGTCACGGGGCCAAAACCAGAGTGTGGAGCCACAGTGTGGCGGTGGAGGCAGCAGCAATGGGGAGGCCATACAGCACCCTATGACAAAATGGAACCCACCAGCAGTGTGAGGAGACCTGAAAGTGGCACATGGCAGAGTGTGGCGATGGAGACAGCAGCAATGGGAGGCCGTACAGGGACCCATGACAGATTACGGGCCTGGCAGCAGCATGAGGAGGCGGTACAGGGGCCCATGACAGATTACGGGCCTGGCAGCAGCAATGGGAGGCCCGTAATCTGCCAGCACCCTATGACAAAATGGAACCCACCAACAGTGTAAGGAGACCTGAAAGTGGCACATGGCAGAGTGTGGCGATGAAGTCAGCAGCAATGGGAGGCCGTACAGGGACCCATGACACACTCTGGACCTGGCAGCAGCAAGAGGAGGCGGTACAGGGGCCCATGGCAGAGTGGCGAAGCGTAAGCAGCTTAAATTGAAGGCCATACAGAGGCCTATGTTAAAAATAATAACATGTTTGGGGCATGATTCATGGCGGATTTAGTCAGTTGTGTCAGGAACTGGTGGTTTGAAATCCAGACTAATCCACGCCTGATTCATTTTCACAAACGTGAGTCTCTCCACACTTTGGGTGGACAGTCGTGTCCTCCGCGGAGTTACAATACCTCCTGCCGCACTAAACACGCGCTCCGATGCCACGCTACTGGCCGGGCATGACAGCCTTTCAAGGGCAAATTCAGCTAGTTGGGGCCAAAGGTCAAGTTTCGTTGCCCAGTAGTCAAGGGGATTGTCTACCTCGGTTGGCAGGGTGCTGTCCAAGTAGGCCCGAGCCTGTTGTTTGAGGTCCTGCTCCAGGTCCACCTGATGCTGCTGCTGCTGCTGCGGCTGGTTAGTAGTTTCCTCACTGCGCTGGTGAAGAAAGCTACTCATCATCGACTGCAGACTGAGGCAGCTGCTGCTGGTGGAGCTGCCACTGCTCCTACCACCCCACCCCTCCCCTGCTGCCATGGCAGCGGAACGCGAGCGCACAGGGCCCACAGTGTCTGAGGATGGACGTTGGCGCAGAAAGGCAGAGACCAACTGACTACATAGGTGGTTTTTTATAGTACGTTATTTTGGCCTCCCTCTCAGCAGGTGTGAAAAAGGCCACCATTTTTGAACGGTAGCGAGGGTCCAACAAGGTGGACAGCCAAAAGTCATCCCTCTGTCTGATGGTTATTATTCGGCTGTCGCTACGCAAGCAACCGAGCATGCTATGGGCCATTTGTGCCAAGGAATGCGAGGGACTCCCTGCCTCCATCTCCACAGCATACTGCCACGGTGCGTCTGGGTCCTCTGTCTCCTCCTCCTCCTCCTCTACCAGATGTCCTGCTCCTCCACTCCTGTCCGCTGAGTGGAAAAACCACCCATTTCACTCAATAATTCCTGAGCACCAATGTCCTCCTCTACCTCCTCCTCTTCTTCCTGTCCTGCCCCCACAGGGGTCATGTGGCGTTGAGATCTGTGCGCCACGTCTACCGCACCCTGACCAGCCATTGTTAACAGCATTTGTTCCAGGACGTGCAACAGAGGAATGACGTCGTTCATCCCATAGTCCTGCCGACTCACGAATAGCGTGGCCTCCTCAAAGGGCCTGAGCAAGCGGCAGGTGTCACGCATGAGCTGCCAATGGCTGACATCTAAGTTACACAGGGGAGTACCTTTATCCGCTTGTAACATCAGGAAATCGGTGATGGCCTTTTCGCTGTTCGTAAAGGCGGTCTAACATATGTAGGGTTGAATTCCACCTTGTTGCAACGTCACAGCATGAGGAGTCGGTACGGGGGCCCATGGCAGATTACGGGCCTGGCAGCAGCAATGGGAGGCCCGTAATCTGCCAGCACCCTATGACAAAATGGAACACACCAGCAGTGTGAGGAGACCTGAAAGTGGCACATGGCAGAGTGTGGCGATGGAGACAGCAGCAATGGGAGGCCGTACAGGGACCCATGAGAGACTCTGGACCTGGCAGCAGCATGAGGAGGCGGTACAGGGGGCCCATGGCAGATTACGGGCCTGGCAGCAGCAATGGGAGGCCCGTAATCTGCCAGCACCCTATGACAAAATGGAACACACCAGCAGTGTGAGGAGACCTGAAAGTGGCACATGGCAGAGTGTGGCGATGGAGACAGCAGCAATGGGAGGCCGTACAGGGACCCATGAGAGACTCTGGACCTGGCAGCAGCATGAGGAGGCGGTACAGGGGCCCATGGCAGATTACGGGCCTGGCAGCAGCAATGGGAGGCCCGTAATCTGCCAGCACCCTATGACAAAATGGAACACACCAGCAGTGTGAGGAGACCTGAAAGTGGCAGCAGAGTGTGGCGATGGAGACAGCAGCAATGGGAGGCCGTACAGGGACCCATGAGAGACTCTGGACCTGGCAGCAGCATGAGGAGGCGGTACGGGGGCCCATGGCAGATTACGGGCCTGGCAGCAGCAATGGGAGGCCCGTAATCTGCCAGCACCCTATGACAAAATGGAACACACCAGCAGTGTGAGGAGACCTGAAAGTGGCACATGGCAGAGTGTGGCGATGGAGACAGCAGCAATGGGAGGCCGTACAGGGACCCATGAGACACTCTGGACCTGGCAGCAGCATGAGGAGGCGGTACAGGGGCCCATGGCAGATTACGGGCCTGGCAGCAGCAATGGGAGGCCCGTAATCTGCCAGCACCCTATGACAAAAAATGGAACACACCAGCAGTGTGAGGAGACCTGAAAGTGGCACATGGCAGAGTGTGGCGATGGAGACAGCAGCAATGGGAGGCCGTACAGGGACCCATGAGAGACTCTGGACCTGGCAGCAGCATGAGGAGGCGGTACAGGGGCCCATGGCAGATTACGGGCCTGGCAGCAGCAATGGGAGGCCCGTAATCTGCCAGCACCCTATGACAAAATGGAACACACACAGCAGTGTGAGGAGACCTGAAAGTGGCACATGGCAGAGTGTGGCGATGGAGACAGCAGCAATGGGAGGCCGTACAGGGACCCATGAGACACTCTGGACCTGGCAGCAGCATGAGGAGGCGGTACAGGGGCCCATGGCAGATTACGGGCCTGGCAGCAGCAATGGGAGGCCCGTAATCTGCCAGCACCCTATGACAAAATGGAACACACCAGCAGTGTGAGGAGACCTGAAAGTGGCACATGGCAGAGTGTGGCGATGGAGACAGCAGCAATGGGAGGCCGTAGGGACCCGTACAGGGACCCATGAGACACTCTGGACCTGGCAGCAGCATGAGGAGGCGGTACGGGGGCCCATGGCAGATTACGGGCCTGGCAGCAGCAATGGGAGGCCCGTAATCTGCCCAGCACCCTATGACAAAAAATGGAACACACCAGCAGTGTGAGGAGACCTGAAAGTGGCACATGGCAGAGTGTGGCGATGGAGACAGCAGCAATGGGAGGCCGTACAGGGACCCATGAGAGACTCTGGACCTGGCAGCAGCATGAGGAGGCGGTACAGGGGCCCATGGCAGATTACGGGCCTGGCAGCAGCAATGGGAGGCCCGTAATCTGCCAGCACCCTATGACAAAATGGAACACACCAGCAGTGTGAGGAGACCTGAAAGTGGCACATGGCAGAGTGTGGCGATGGAGACAGCAGCAATGGGAGGCCGTACAGGGACCCATGAGAGACTCTGGACCTGGCAGCAGCATGAGGAGGCGGTACAGGGGCCCCATGGCAGATTACGGGCCTGGCAGCAGCAATGGGAGGCCCGTAATCTGCCAGCACCCTATGACAAAAAAATGGAACACACCAGCAGTGTGAGGAGACCTGAAAGTGGCACATGGCAGAGTGTGGCGATGGAGACAGCAGCAATGGGAGGCCGTACAGGGACCCATGAGAGACTCTGGACCTGGCAGCAGCATGAGGAGGCGGTACGGGGGCCCATGGCAGATTACGGGCCTGGCAGCAGCAATGGGAGGCCCGTAATCTGCCAGCACCCTATGACAAAAAATGGAACACACCAGCAGTGTGAGGAGACCTGAAAGTGGCACATGGCAGAGTGTGGCGATGGAGACAGCAGCAATGGGAGGCCGTACAGGGACCCATGAGAGACTCTGGACCTGGCAGCAGCATGAGGAGGCGGTACAGGGGCCCATGGCAGATTACGGGCCTGGCAGCAGCAATGGGAGGCCCGTAATCTGCCAGCACCCTATGACAAAAAATGGAACACACCAGCAGTGTGAGGAGACCTGAAAGTGGCACATGGCAGAGTGTGGCGATGGAGACAGCAGCAATGGGAGGCCGTACAGGGACCCATGAGAGACTCTGGACCTGGCAGCAGCATGAGGAGGCGGTACGGGGCCCATGGCAGATTACGGGCCTGGCAGCAGCAATGGGAGGCCCGTAATCTGCCAGCACCCTATGACAAAAAAATGGAACACACCAGCAGTGTGAGGAGACCTGAAAGTGGCACATGGCAGAGTGTGGCGATGGAGACAGCAGCAATGGGAGGCCGTACAGGGACCCATGAGAGACTCTGGACCTGGCAGCAGCATGAGGAGGCGGTACAGGGGCCCATGGCAGATTACGGGCCTGGCAGCAGCAATGGGAGGCCCGTAATCTGCCAGCACCCTATGACAAAATGGAACACACCAGCAGTGTGAGGAGGAGACCTGAAAGTGGCACATGGCAGAGTGTGGCGATGGAGACAGCAGCAATGGGAGGCCGTACAGGGACCCATGAGAGACTCTGGACCTGGCAGCAGCATGCAGAGGAGGCGGTACAGGGGGCCCATGGCAGATTACGGGCCTGGCAGCAGCAATGGGAGGCCCGTAATCTGCCAGCACCCTATGACAAAATGGAACACACCAGCAGTGTGAGGAGACCTGAAAGTGGCACATGGCAGAGTGTGGCGATGGAGACAGCAGCAATGGGAGGCCGTACAGGGACCCATGAGAGACTCTGGACCTGGCAGCAGCATGAGGAGGCGGTACAGGGGCCCATGGCAGATTACGGGCCTGGCAGCAGCAATGGGAGGCCCGTAATCTGCCAGCACCCTATGACAAAATGGAACACACCAGCAGTGTGAGGAGACCTGAAAGTGGCACATGGCAGAGTGTGGCGATGGAGACAGCAGCAATGGGAGGCCGTACAGGGACCCATGAGAGACTCTGGACCTGGCAGCAGCATGAGGAGGCGGTACAGGGGGCCCATGGCAGATTACGGGCCTGGCAGCAGCAATGGGAGGCCCGTAATCTGCCAGCACCCTATGACAAAAATGGAAACACCCAGCAGTGTGAGAGAGACCTGAAAGTGGCACATGGCAGAGTGTGGCGATGGAGACAGCAGCAATGGGAGGTACAGGGACCCATGAGCATCCCCCTGGGAGATGACAGCAGGGCCTGGCAGCAGCATGAGGAGGCGGTACAGGGGCCCATGGCAGATTACGGGCCTGGCAGCAGCAATGGGAGGCCCGTAATCTGCCAGCACCCTATGACAAAATGGAACACCAGCACCAGCAGTGTGAGGAGACCTGAAAGTGGCACATGGCAGAGTGTGGCGATGGAGACAGCAGCAATGGGAGGCCGTACAGGGACCCATGAGAGACTCTGGACCTGGCAGCAGCATGAGGAGGCGGTACAGGGGCCCATGGCAGATTACGGGCCTGGCAGCAATGGGAGGCCCGTAATCTGCCAGCACCCCCTATGACAAAAAATGAACACACACAGCAGCAGTGTGAGGAGACCTGAAAGTGGCACATGGCAGAGTGTGGCATGGAGACAGCAGCAATGGCTGACAGGGAGCACAGCACCTGGCATGAGAGGCCGTACAGGGACCCATGAGAGACTCTGGACCTGGCAGCAGCATGAGGAGGCGGTACCAAAGGGGCCCATGGCAGATTACGGGCCCCATGATTAGCAGCCTGGCAGCAGCAGCAAAAGGCCCAGGCCGTAATCCCGTGCCAGCACCCTATGACAAAATGGAACACACCAGCAGTGTGAGGAGACCTGAAAGTGGCACATGGCAGAGTGTGGCGATGGAGACAGCAGCAATGGGAGGCCGTACAGGGACCCATGAGAGACTCTGGACCTGGCAGCAGCATGAGGAGGCGGTACAGGGGCCCATGGCAGATTACGGGCCTGGCAGCAGCAATGGGAGGCCCGTAATCTGCCAGCACCCTATGACAAAAAAATGGAACACACCAGCAGTGTGAGGAGACCTGAAAGTGGCACATGGCAGAGTGTGGCGATGGAGACAGCAGCAATGGGAGGCCGTACAGGGACCCATGAGAGACTCTGGACCTGGCAGCAGCATGAGGAGGCGGTACAGGGGGCCCATGGCAGATTACGGGCCTGGCAGCAGCAATGGGAGGCCCGTAATCTGCCAGCACCCTATGACAAAATGGAACACACCAGCAGTGTGAGGAGACCTGAAAGTGGCACATGGCAGAGTGTGGCGATGGAGACAGCAGCAATGGGAGGCCGTACAGGGACCCATGACACACTGTCTGGACCTGGCAGCAGCATGAGGAGGCGGTACAGGGGGCCCATGGCAGATTACGGGCCTGGCAGCAGCAATGGGAGGCCCGTAATCTGCCAGCACCCTATGACAAAATGGAACACACCAGCAGTGTGAGGAGACCTGAAAGTGGCACATGGCAGAGTGTGGCGATGGAGACAGCAGCAATGGGAGGCCGTACAGGGACCCATGAGACTCTGGACCTGGCAGCAGCATGAGGAGGCGGTACAGGGGCCCATGGCAGATTACGGGCCTGGCAGCAGCAATGGGAGGCCCGTAATCTGCCAGCACCCTATGACAAAAAATGGAACACACAGCAGTGTGAGGAGACCTGAAAGTGGCACATGGCAGAGTGTGGCGATGGAGACAGCAGCAATGGGAGGCCGTACAGGGACCCATGAGAGACTCTGGACCTGGCAGCAGCATGAGGAGGCGGTACAGGGGCCCATGGCAGATTACGGGCCTGGCAGCAGCAATGGGAGGCCCGTAATCTGCCAGCACCCTATGACAAAATGGAACACACCAGCAGTGTGAGGAGACCTGAAAGTGGCACATGGCAGAGTGTGGCGATGGAGACAGCAGCAATGGGAGGCCGTACAGGGACCCATGAGACACTCTGGACCTGGCAGCAGCATGAGGAGGCGGTACAGGGGCCCATGGCAGATTACGGGCCTGGCAGCAGCAATGGGAGGCCCGTAATCTGCCAGCACCCTATGACAAAATGGAACACACCAGCAGTGTGAGGAGACCTGAAAGTGGCACATGGCAGAGTGTGGCGATGGAGACAGCAGCAATGGGAGGCCGTACAGGGACCCATGAGAGACTCTGGACCTGGCAGCAGCATGAGGAGGCGGTACAGGGGCCATGGCAGATTACGGGCCTGGCAGCAGCATGGGAGGCCCGTAATCTGCCAGCACCCTATGACAAAAAATGGAACACACCAGCAGTGTGAGGAGACCTGAAAGTGGCACATGGCAGAGTTTGTTTGGGGCATGATTCATGGCGGATTTAGTCAGTTGTGTCAGGAACTGGTGGTTTGAAATCCAGACTAATCCACGCCTGATTCATTTTCACAAACGTGAGTCTCTCCACACTTTGGGTGGACAGTCGTGTCCTCCGCGGAGTTACAATACCTCCTGCCGCACTAAACACGCGCTCCGATGCCACGCTACTGGCCGGGCATGACAGCCTTTCAAGGGCAAATTCAGCTAGTTGGGGCCAAAGGTCAAGTTTCGTTGCCCAGTAGTCAAGGGGATTGTCTACCTCGGTTGGCAGGGTGCTGTCCAAGTAGGCCCAAGCCTGTTGTTTTGAGGTCCTGCTCCAGGTCCACCTGATGCTGCTGATGCTGCTGCTGCTGCGCGCTGGTTAGTAGTTTCCTCACTGCGCTGGTGAAGAAAGCTACTCATCATCGACTGCAGACTGAGGCAGCCGCTGCTGGTGGAGCTGCCACTGCTCCTACCACCCCACCCCTCCCCTGCTGCCATGGCAGCGGAACGCGAGCGCACAGGGCCCACAGTGTCTGAGGATGGACGTTGGCGCAGAAAGGCAGAGACCAACTGACTACATAGGTGGTTTTTATAGTACGTTATTTTGGCCTCCCTCTCAGCAGGTGTGAAAAAGGCCACCATTTTTGAACGGTAGCGAGGGTCCAACAAGGTGGACAGCCAAAAGTCATCCCTCTGTCTGATGGTTATTATTCGGCTGTCGCTACGCAAGCAACCGAGCATGCTATGGGCCATTTGTGCCAAGGAATGCGAGGGACTCCCTGCCTCCATCTCCACAGCATACTGCCACGGTGCGTCTGGGTCCTCTGTCTCCTCCTCCTCCTCCTCTACCAGATGCTCCTGCTCCTCCACTCCTGTCCGCTGAGTGGAAAAACCACCCATTTCACTCAATAATTCCTGAGCACAAATGTCCTCCTCTACCTCCTCCTCCTCTTCTTCCTGTCCTGCCCCCACAGGGGTCATGTGGCGTTGAGATCTGTGCGCCACGTCTACCGCACCCTGACCAGCCATTGTTAACAGCATTTGTTCCAGGACGTGCAACAGAGGAATGACGTCGTTCATCCCATATAGTCCTGCCGACTCACGAATAGCGTGGCCTCCTCAAAGGGCCTGAGCAAGCGGCAGGTGTCACGCATGAGCTGCCAATGGCTGACATCGAAGTTACACAGGGGAGTACCTTATCCGCTTGTAACATCAGGAAATCGGTGATGGCCTTTCGCTGTTCGTAAAGGCGGTCTAACATGTGTAGGGTTGAATTCCACCTTGTTGCAACGTCGCAGATCAGGCGATGCTGTGGAATTCCGTTCTGCCGCTGCAGCTCAAGGAGGGTGTGCTTTGCGGTGTGTAGGAATGGCTGAAATGCATGCAAAGTTTACGTGACATTTTAAGGATGTCTTGCAGTGGGATGGTGGATTTTAGGAACCGCTTGACAACCAGATTGAACACGTGAGCCATGCATGGCGCATGGCACAACCTTCCTTGACGCAGAGCAGACACCATGTTCTTTCCGTTGTCGGTCAACATGGTTCCGATTTTCAGTTTGCGCGGAGACAGCCATCTGTCGATTTCTCTGTTCATTACACTCAGAAGTTCCTCCCCTGTGTGTGACTACGTTCGCCAAGGCATACCAGGTG